AACCCGGGCCGCACAGATGCCAGGCAAGTGCGCTACTGCTTGAGCCACATCCCCAGCCCCCCAGTGTCAGGTTTTGATTCTCTCTCCAATGAGGTAGAATACCCAAGAGCAACTGGTACTGATAAGCTAGACCGACCAGATACAACCTTCAGAGACAACACTTACCTCTGGATAGCTAACAAGATCCAAGATGAATGCCAAGGCTGATCGCAATAAAACAGACACTGGCCTTACCAACAAATTGAGAGTGCAAATGACGGAAGCCCCTTTTGTTAAATATTTGTGTTAAATATCAGCAGAGCCTAAGCAGGCACAACCTCAAAACCATAGAGGTGAACCCTGCACACAGGCCTGTAAGTCATGCCCAAGAACTGACCAGGTTTAACAACAAAATCTGGAACTAAGCAGCACCCATAATCGTCAGAGTGGCACATGGTGGACAAGCCTTGGTGAAATAGTACACAACATGGAAAAAATTCAGTGAGCCTGGATGAAGGAGGAACCTAAGCACACATCGTGGAATACAGATGCCTCAGAAGACATCACTGTGGAAGGCACAGGAGGGGCCAGCCAGCAGGGGTGCCTGCAGCCACTGTGTGGATGGTGCCCAACACCCAGCGTCACTCCAATGTCATTTTCTAAGGTGTTCCATGTACATTTTATCAATTCCACTTAAAGTCAGGTATGTGGCAGCATTTTTCCACCACCATACAGAACCTGAGAGAAATTCAACACAACCAGGGAACAATGATCGTAAAACTGAAAATTCTAAAAGAAAGGAAAGAATTATTTTCCAACTGCTACTTACACAGCACAAAAACGAGTTTAAAATAAAGCTGTGGGCTGGCTCAGTGGGACAGAGCTTGCCTAATGTGTGAGGCACTGGGTTATAAGCACCGCATATAAATAAACAAAAAAAGGTTCATTGACACTAAACAATATTTTTAAAAAATAATAAAGCGGTGTATTTAATCTGAGACTCACAAAACGTGTTTGTGCTTATGACTAACCCGAGGCGGGCTGAGGCACAGGCCACTGTCACACCGAACGCCTGCTCAGCAAGTTCTCAAAACTGGTCAACTAACCCTTTTCTCCAAGGGCTACCTCTGCCCTTCAATCTTGCTCTAGAATCAGTCATTTATCACCAGAATAAAATCAATTAATTCGTGCTTCAAATTAAGAGGCTTACACCAGTATTAACCCCTAACTTTGGATTGAAACAAAGCACCTAAGGTTAATAGAGGAAGCCAGGAATCAAGGCACTGCCGCACCACCTGGTCTGCAAAGTTCCCGGAGCAGGAACCAGACCGCCTTAATCCACTAAGCACCTTAGGCCTCACCAAGAACTCCGTCACAGGGTCACCCAGCTCCGCGACCAGAATTACCGGAGGGATCGCTGAGATCCATGCAATCCGTGCAAGGCCCAGCTGCAGGCCTGGGAGTCAGCGGCCCATGATCTGCAACCACCAAAACCGGTGGCGAACGGGTCGCCTGGG